AATTTAATGTTAAGGGTAATTTAATAATTTATATTTGTATGTGTATTGACTTGCACGTTAACGAGTCAATATGGTTATTGGTTAACAGGTGGCTATGCTGAATTCTCGGCCACCCTTTCAGCTGATTTTGATGAATCATACCAACATAATACATTCTATGAATTCACTCGTGTGCAAAATGATATTTGTATGTAAATCTTACGCATTATTAATCGTTATACCATTAAGATTTCCTTTAATTGATAGCACACGTACCTATCTGCAGTAACCCATAAATTGGTTCTTCAGTCGGATATGGATTACCTCAGAAGTCTTTTAAGGCCTGAGATCAAGCAGAAAATTGAATCTGGAGACCCAGTTGAACTGTTCAGCAAATATGGTTCTCACTACGGATGTAATTTGAAAATAGGTGGTCGTATCATTTATTCTGCATCCACTAATAAACTTATATTCAACCGAACGATGGATTTGAAAGCATTGGCAGAAATTTCTTACAAGGAACTTGTCAATGCTAGTGAAAGTATGGAATTTAGTTCTGAAACTTCACAATTCAGAGATAATAGCAATTGCAAATTTGTTGTCCAAGGAGGAATCCCAGACATAGTCGGTAATGTTCTTAATGAGGATAATTTTAATAGATGGAGAGCTACTATTCCAGATAACCCCGCATTTATTGCTTTTAATGATGATGAGGAAAAATCTGGGTATGATATTTTTTTAGCTATTTCTGATATTGATTTAGTCCATAAATTAATAAGTAATTTGTTTAGCCTTGATTTTATTGGAGATCTTGCATCTACACAAAAGCGCCGTGATGAATTGCTTGAGGCTTATCGTCAATGGGCTAAAAGTGAGAAGATAACTTTACCAAAAGACAAAGGACCTTTTCTTGAGGGGAAAATGGCGGAAGCACATTATTTATACAATGATAGAGGAACCCGTGCAATTAGAGATATATATATTCATCAACCAGATGTTGGGGATGGAAAAGAGTGGTACGCAAATCAGGAATGTTATCAGCTTTATTCAGTTTGTATACAGTATTTAACTATTGCAGTATTATAAAAACAGATCATTATAGAGCTGATAACATCCCAATGCAAATGTAAATTAATCAATATTTATCTTTATTTTATTGTAGTTTTTAAATAATTTTCTATTTAATTTTAAAGGAAATTTTTAGGTCAATCGTATCTTCAAAAGCCTCAACTCACAATTCGTGAAAAATCATGGGCAAAAGGTGTTCTGGTCGATGTTCCCGATGTAGATTCTGGAGTTACTATATGGTCAAGGTGGGATGAATATTTCGGAATTCAAGTCACATTTTGGCACCCACAAGCGCCAGACCCTGAAAATTATGTTACTCTTGGCTCTTTCATGAAAAGTAGTTACGGCCAAAATATAGATGGCCTCGTAGCAGTTCACAAAGATTTATGTAAAAAATCAACTTATGATGAATATATCTGGGATGACACAGGTTCTCGTGAGGAATCAAATTGTGCAGTCTGGACAATAAAGGACGCCTATAATATAAATGCATTTATTGCTGCAGATAACTACAATTCTCCAAATCCTGATTTAATTTGGGTGCTTAAAGAAGAAGTTGTTGAAATGCTTGATAATTAATTTTTAGTCTATTTGTACTCCACAATTTTACATTTCATATTACTAGAAAAGCACTGTTCATATTATTTTTATGTATGAATGCATAGTATCTATAAATATTTATATGTCAAATTTCGCAAAGAATAAACTTAATTATAGTAAAGTTGATTTTATTCCTTTTATTATATAAATTTATATATTATAACAATATTTTAATTTTTAAAAAAATTAAATCAGAACTCACTTTTTTAAGCAAATTTTTGCATTTTTTTTTAAATCATGATTTAAGGAATAGTATTTATGACAAAAGAATTTACTATTAAAAATAGTATAATAAAATATGATAGCTATTATAAACTATTTAAAAACAAATACTATAATTAAATTTAAAACCCACCGTTAAATAGTTTAAAAACTAAAACAAACCAAAATTTGAAATTTATTACCCGAAGTGATTCTAGGTTTTTTGATAATAACACTTAAATAATAAAACCGAATAATAAATGTTTCTTCACATAATTTTCAAACTTGAATTCTTTTGCGTAAATAAGTGATATACCGAGACTCTCTGCGCCAATATTCTTCTACAGATGAGTTGCGGACAAGTACATCACATCTATCCTCGTAACATTTCCAAAAACTTTTAGATAGATAGAGATATCCTGGAAGTTTTGATTGATAATCTTCTCCCCAATGTTGCTTCATAGCAGACTCTGTATCTTCCTTATACGCTTCATCGCATATATCACCAATGATAACTACACCTCCAGGTTTAGTTATACGTAACATTTCGTCAACAGCCAGTAACGCATTTTGTTTTGACATGTACTGGAAAACACTATGTGAAATAGTGACATCGTATTGTCCAGATTCTATAACAGACAATGCATCTGGGATCGTACCCACAAAAAAGTTATTATTGTTTGCATTTACTACTGCATGGCGTAAGTGCTGAATGGCCCTATCAGACCCATCAACTCATGAAATAGTGACATTTTTAAAGTGTTTTTTGGATGGGGTCAAGTATCGCTCCGCAGCCACATCCAGCTTCAAAGACATGATGACCTTCTTTGACATATTCTTGTACAATATCTAAGACATATTTTTCCCATATTTCTGAGTCTTCAATGTCGAACCATCCAGCCAACTGATGTAAGGTTGTATATTTGCTGTCGAAAAGTTCGTTGAATGTAGAAACCCAGGCATAGCTATCATGTTTACCTGTTACTGAATCTAGTGTTTTAAGATTCGACATTTTTTAAAATTACTATTCTCCTGACTTCCTGGTTATATATAGGCACGATAAAATATGTAGTACTAAATTTGCAGACCATGCCCATAATTCTTTATACTATGCAATCACAACATAATTTGTAATCTAAGTACGTACATAGCATTTTTGTTATTAATTTGTAACTGTTACTGCAGGGACACGGAAAATATGTGATTTGATGTGATTAAACAAAATCGTATAAATTTACATCATCTATATTATTTCAATGTCACATTAGGGTGTTACCTCAACTATAAAATAAAACATAGTAATTTCGGATTTATTAATGGTTAACCAATTTTTTCGACGATGATTATAAGAATAATTATAAAACTAAATTTACATTTATTAGCACAATATCTAATATAATTTTTTTTAACTTGAAGCTCTCAACTAACTATACATGATAAAGGTGCACTTTTTTTCAAAAATTTATAAAATCATTCAATTATTATATAAATATTAAATAATTATTTAATTTTTATGAGTTTTTCAAAAAAATTATACACACCTTTGTTAGATATTTGTGCTAATAAATTTAATATTTAAATATACTGCCTATAATAAATCTGAAATTAATTACCTTCATATATTACCCTAACTATTTAATTAGTTGAGGTGCCACCCTAATGTCACGTATATTCATTTTATGTTCTCAATAGAAATGTTATCAGCTTTATTCGCCTATATATTTGACTATTATAACAATTGGAGCAGAATGAGCTGATAACATAGTACAGATAGCGATAGTATGTTAGTGCGAAATAATTAATTTTGAGTAGTAAGTTAAAG